AAGTTGACAGAATATAGAGTAAGTTCATACTGATTGCAGTGAGCATTTTTATGAAAAGAATTTTTTCACTTTTCACTTTCTTGCTTTCTATATCTGTCTCTATATACGCGTAGAAAAGGGAAAAAATGAGACAGAAAGAAAAATTACATCACAAGCAGAACGAATAAAATGCGGCATGTTTGAAGTTGAACGACGACTACTATATTAAAATTCGAGTTGCCGGATAAAATAGAAGACCATCTGGTCTATTATTATGGAGGGGGGGGGGCAGAGGGGGAGGAAGGTTAGTACAGAAAGAAATCTATTCAGTTTCGTTCGTTTATGATTTTTTCCCTTTTAGTAGCCTTAAAGGCGGATGGACTATGGATAAGCGACGATGCTGAGTCTCGTGGCAATATTTATTTTTAGAAAAAGTTTTAAAAATCTACCGAAAAGCCAGTTTTACGAAAATTAGGATTTTCAGGCTGTTTCACTTAGGCCCCTTCCCCCTCTGAAATTATCTCCGACACCGTGCATCCGATCTTGACGAAACTTTCCATAAATGTTCGGCACAATAAGTTACGAGAATGAAAAAATTTTTTTGTCTCCAAATCTTACGGTTTAGGAGTTTTCCAGAGATCAAGGTCCAAAGAGGATCCTAAACGGCTTTTTTCAATATACTTCAAGCTTGAGAGTTCGGGTTTGTTTTATTTTAAACTAGACACCTAACTACATCGGCAGACCGGCGCGGATTTTTTAATTAAGCCTTTATTGATTTTCCAGGCAACCAAAACCTCCAAAACCCTTCTTTTAAACAAAAACAGAATGAACTTTTTACGACAAACCGCTATTAAAAACCTTGGGACGCACTTCAGGTGTAACTCTTATATAGCGAAAACGCTGTGTTAAGCTCTGTATGAAATAGTCGATTTTATGACTTCTAGGAAAACGCCTGTAACTTTTCGATGCAAGATCATACAGAGTTGTGCAAAGTCTTATTTTGATCAGAAACGTTTGCTCTACAAAGCTGTGTTTTCAGAAAAGTTGCAATTGCATAAGTATCCAGGAAAAAACCATTATTTGAAGACCTGTTTTTTCGAGGCTCTTAGAAAACTTGCTCAAAATCCCGGAAAAACCACTTTTGGAACCAAAAGCAATACAGATTCTGCAAGTAGACACTTCAGGCTGTCTTTTCATGCGCGTATCTCAAAACCGATTGTTTGACCGAAAATCACCATTTCTGAGGAGTGTGGGGAGAATATCTCAGGATATGATTAATGTTGACCGCTAAACGTGATTATAAGATCGAAGAAATCGAAAAGCATATTTTTGTTAATAGGTTTTTCAGAAACCCTTTTGGAAAACCTTAGGGTTTGTAAAATTTGTTTCGAGATCCCTTATAAACAGGATAGAGAATAGCTTAAATACTCTACATTCTGAAGTTTTGAACTCGGTCTCATGTTTTTTAAGTGAATAGTGAATTTTTTAGTCTTAAGTGAAACAGCCTGAAAATCCTAATTTTCGTAAAACTGGCTTTTCGGTAGATTTTTAAAACTTTTTCTAAAAATAAATATTGCCACGAAACTCAGCATCGTCGCTTATCCATAGTCCATCCGTCTTTAAGGCTACTAAGAGTCACCGGGTGGCAGTCCTAGGACTCGTCAGAAATCCGATAGAACATCCGAACCGCAGAAAATCAAGGTCTCACTTTACTTCCATTTTGTAGGGAACACCCCGCACTATCAGCCCGCTTCAGAAGTTTCTCTGAAATTCGCTTTTGCTCACAGAAATATGTTGTCACGTGTCTGCTTTCCAAATTGGAAAACCGCAGCTCGCTAACACCTTTCTTTAAAAAATTATGAGCAAAATATCGGACTGTCTTATTCATTGAAAACGATAGTAGTAGTTATGGTAGAATTCTTAAGTCTAAGTAAAAGATGGCGCAGTCACTAATTATTCCTGACAGCTTGTTTGGAATGAAATCAGAGTCTGTTTAACAGGAAAAAAGAACTGTCAAGTTCCACTTTAAACAAAAAACAAACGAATAAAAGAAAACATGTTTTTCTTTTACATGTACAAGAACGGAGTTTAGTACCTAGCACTGTAAGACATGCATTTACTTTTCGTACGAAAACTTTAAAAAAGTAAATCAAAAAAACATAGCTCGAATAAAGCTAAGAAAGAGCAAACGAGATCAATCCACTTCTCCTTCTTCCTCTTCATCCATTTCTTCTTCCTGTTGATCATTCTCAGATATTGTGTCAGATACTCTGTCCCATTCGGAGCCACCCGATGCGTGATATGGATCTTTTTGTCTTAATTGCTGAACTAATATGTCAGTTGGTCGTTGAGTATTGTTGGAGGTATTCGGTACATTACTTTCAAAGCGACTTTTCAATTGCTTCAGACGTTCAAGTATCGATAAATAATTGAATGAGCCACGTTTTTCTCCGAATGGATCTTTCATTGGTTTTCCATCTTTATTCAGATTCTCTTTACATGTTGATTCATAAAAATCGTAATAATTATGAAACTGTTTCATCATCACTTCACTAAAATTAAAAAATGCGACCTCAATGAAATCCTTCATGTAGATCGAAAAACAGCATTTCTTACCGCAAGTCATTTGGACACGAATTTTCGTTTTCTATCATTTCACAAACAGCTGCTCTCAATGTTTCATGTCTAATAATATCGTTATAAATGGCACTGGCACCAGACGAATGCTTCTGTAAAATAGAGCACATTGTAAAACGAAATGACTAGGAGACGGTGGAATTCTGTCGCGAAAAAATTAGTGGGATTTCCCACCTAATTTCTGGTTTTTTACAGAATTCCTTTTTTCGTAAATTGCAATGTAGAGTGGAAAAACGAATTATACAGACGTCGTTTTGTGTACGAGTCAGGAGGTCCGTATTTAAAAGATACCCGCTCTAGATGCGCCACTTATCATGCAAATTATGCTACAAAACAGCACCGAACTTTAGCGCTATATTGAACTAGCACTCTTCTCAGAGGGCGTCCTCAAAGCATGATATGGTAATGGAGCAATTTATATCGATTTTCTAGAAATAAAATCTCAAAAACTTGCAGAAAAAACATTTTCTTTTTTTTTGTATTGACTTCGAACAAATCGATTTACTAGCAAAAATTAGTTTTCATTTTTCTGCTAGAGTTTCAATCGCCTTCCGATACTCACAAAAACGCAGTAACCCGAAGCATGATCAGAATTTGACATAAAGTCAGAAAAAGAAAACAAACCTACCAAATAGCTCCAAAATTTGAGATAGGGAAGGTGTTCCTTATCAGTCAAACAATGGATACATACATTTGCATATCTTGTGTCTTCGTAACCTGGCTCATTGTGATACGGTTTGTCGCTCATCAATGATTGAATTGATATTAACAACGATGAAAGACATTGTGCAGGAGACCACTCTGGTCCATTCCACGTGCCAATTATACTTAGACACACTTTACCATCTCGATATAAATTTGGATTGAATCGTACAGTACCATTTCCCGTTGTCATCAATTTCACACGTGGCGATCGAATGGGATAATCGGGCGGACAACGAATGAGAAAATAGAAGAAACCACCGTGGTACGGCGTATCGGACGGTCCAACAACGAGCGCATGAATCTAGAATAAAATAACCTTGATTGGTAACGACAATGTAATGTCTTTTTTGTTGTATAACGTACTTTCGTGATATTATCTGGACAGGGTGCTAAAATAAAAATGAGGTTCAGTTGTTAGAAAAAACCTGTGTGAACTGCGGTGCATCATCCCACGGGGCATTCGGCCGACGTTCTCAACAGTAAGTCGTCACTGAGGCTGCCACTCTTCCATACAGAGTTGTAGGGCACTGGAAATTCAAAACTTAAACAAAAGTTATTCTTTCGATTTTTATATATGATTTCGATAGAACTCATCGAGCTGAGCAAGAACATGTGTGTTTTAGGATACTAACTTTTAAAAAACTCGAAATTTTTAAACTCTTAATTTCAAACCCGTTTCTGCTCACAGCTGTTCTAACAATCATCCACATCGACGGCAAAAAGAATTCTAAATAAAATAAAGCCATCCTGACGTTTCTGTGATGTTTTGTGCAATAAATTGCTTGAAACTGTGGTCTTCCGAAAGTTCCAAGTCAGACCTCTATTTCTCAGCGTAGCCAGTGCGCGAAAATCCTCGAAATAGTCGCGTTATTATGGAGAAAGCAATTTTCTGCAATGTGTATGGTTGTTAGAACAGTTGTGAACAGAGAAGGTTTTCCAGAGACTTTATATACTTTACGTGATTTACTTGGCTTTTTCTCAAATCTGTTAAGACTTGAAGCTTTTGACGCTAACAGCAGAAGGTTTCCGCGCTCTCCTCAAATTTTAAATTTTTTTGGGTTCTTTCGTACTTGAACGACATCGAAAATATATTTTTTATATTCAGTTTTTGACGTAGAATAAGAAAAAGATATTTCTGACGTTACAAACTGAAGATAAAGTGGAAATTTTCGATAATTTTTAAAAATCAGGCCGTTTTTTAAGGATTTGAAAATTTCGATTTTTTTAAATTTTGGACCCTAAAATTTTTTTTTTTGAAATTCTAAGACACACATATTCTTACTCAGGTCGACGAACTCTGTCGAATCATATATAAAAATCGAAAGAATAAATTTTGCTTAAGTTTTGAATTTTCGGCGCCATACTGATTTACCAACGATGGAAAGATATCGACATTTTTCGGAAGAATTTCAAAAATCTTGCTAAAAGAAACTTTGTCAGAAGAATTTTTCAACCTCTATACGTTTTATTGCAAAAAATCATTTGATTTCACTGACGAAAACTTCCAGGATTCAGAGATTGAGCCTCCTCACTTGGGGAGTCTTGCTTTCAGATTATGCAAGAGGCATTATATTTCGTCTTTCGGGGTTTGAAAGACCTATACAGGGAACTGAATTCGAAATAAAGACGTATTCCACCACTGAGGCTCTAATTGTCTCAATATTTAGGAAACTAAAGCCTCGTAAATCCCACTGAGCGGCTGACTTTCGTGGGCGGTTATTGCTTCGCATATGTTTAAAGGAGAGGTCCTCGGAAAACTGATTTTTCAATTCTGCGAACCTTTTCTATTTCTTATTGGTACTGCAGACGGCGCTACACGACAAAAAATAATCAGACCTTTACCTATAAATATTCCCGCTGGTGGATCATCAAACATATTGACTATATCTCTAAAATGCAAAGGAAAACAATTGATCGAATCATTATTTACGGATGATACTATTATACCGTCTTATTCTTGATACACACATTGCACTCGCTGCGAGCTGTTCCCAGTCAGCGCAGCAATCCGGATCCCAACTCATTTCAACGTAATTACGTAATGTACAATAATATAACGTCACTTTCCGTCTAATTATATAAAACAAAATTATTACACAGACAAAATAACTTAATGAATGAACTGAAATATGTAGAATGAATGCACGCTATGTATATCTCTTCACTTTGTTTTTTTCTACCGACGTTGCGTCATATACTCGAAAAGCTAAAACGGAAATAAAACTACCAAAAAATGACTCATGTTCTCTTTTCTTTCTTACCTTTGTATACGAAACATGCGACATGAGACGCAAACAACCTTGATAAACAAAAATAAAAATGGTCAGAAGAAGGTTTTTACCCACACGTCGCTGTCAATTTTTGTTTTCAACAAAATAACTCATCTCAAACAGTCTTTGCAGCCTTTCCGTAACATTGAATAGTAGCCCTCTTTTATCCATCGAATAGAAGGAAACGGATAAGAGTACACGGTAAAAAATAAAGTGTGCCCTAGGCACGCTGAACTTCGACTTTTTTTGCATACTGAAAACCGCTTGTTCAGTGTGCCTGTAACACACTGGAATTACATATACAGCTTGCATAGGCAGAGCGAGAAAAAAGACCGAAGAAAGGAATAATTCTTCAGTTTTTTTCCCTTGATAAACGCAAGATCAAAATTCAGATTACACAGTGACAATCTGCACATCATTTTGGACTCGAAATGCACACTTGGGGTATGCACACTAGCACACTTTATTTTTTACAGTGTAAAGGCCTCAGTACTTTTAGGGAACAATTCCCCTGGTAAACAAATGTACGAAACCCATAAAAACAAATCAGGTATCAAAGTTTTCGTACCGAACCGGGTTCGGACGGTATGGCCTCTTTTTTCCGAATACTCATAGGTTTATTAAAACATGTAAGTATCCATCGTTTCTCAAGGTGAAAAATCCATCAGCGATTATCTGTATAGAGCTAAAATATATTTGCAGGTCAAAAGATATGGTACAACACTAAGTATTCGTCTGAGAAGTACGTCCCAAGGCTGCAAACAATATCACACCAGCACAACAACGAACGAATCTAGGTACAACAACAGCCTTAACAGTTTAGCTTTTCCATTTAAGTAATTTTATTCTTTTACTTCAAAATTGTAAATAGAACCTTATTTCTGACAGCATGTGCTCATGAGGAGATAAAAGCGAACCAGTCGTTTTGCTACTATGTCTTTATTGGTGCGTGTGTTTTGAGCTTTACCAAACTGATTTATTTTTCACTACGCTTCTGATTCTATTTCATGCGTAGGGAGCATTTCAAAATGTATGCCGGTCGCTTGGCCACTCTGCCGTTCAGTCGGTCGACCAATCGTTCTACCATTTCGCTCAGCCACTCTGCCATCCTGCCGCAGTGAAATGCTAATTTGTTTTATTTTGTTTAATTTCGGTTCCTTTGATTGTATTGTGGATATATATATACCCAGATTCATGATTACGACGGTCGTATACGTCAAATTACGATGATGTAATTTGACGTATACTATAGTATTTCGTTGTATTTTGACGTAAACCCGGCCAACGTATTACGTTGTAACGTCAGCCGTTATGACCGTCATATTTCGTCGTATTTGAGCGTAAACGACGTCTTTTGCGATGGCCGGATTTGCGTCAAAGTACGACGAAATACTATAGTATACGGTCGTGAATCTTTGACTTGGGTACTCATGTCTGTGCGTCAAAAATGAGCTAGTTTGTTTTTCCGGTACTACACACCATTGTGTGCAGAATTTTAAGGGCTGGAAACTGCAAAAAAAATTTACACATAAGTCGACGGCTAAAAGATCGAAAAATACGAAAATGCACTATCATTTTAAAAACTGACAATGTATTTGGAATCTACGTATAAAATTATATACATAAATTCAGCAACATCGCTTCGTCTAAAATAAATATATAAATAAATAAAACATGACGACGATCGCCTTTCGTGAGCAAGAAACAAGATGAACAATCCGATAATTTTCTGCTATTTTTGAGCTTTCCCTTTTTTAATCTGCTTAAGTGTATAAAAGCATCTAAAAACCAACATGTGTTTGTGGAGTTTTTTTGAACTTGTAGTCGATGCTGTGCGTGATTTTTTTATGCTTCCTTAAGAGATTTAAGCAAGAACTTAATACAAATGGTCTAAAATTTTTGTTAAAGATGATTTCATGTTTTTGTTGCTGATCGATGTGGTGGTAAAAGAGGTGACTGCTTTTGGGATCAATATCCAGATATTCAAGAAGAAGCTTATGCATTTGCAGTTCAGACTTGTGAACGAAAAGCTGCATCGTTGTGCAAAAATTTGAACTTGAACGTTTCTGTAGACCAAAAGTACGTGAATGAGAAGTTCTTTTGTTTGATTTCGGCATATCAGTTTAGAAATATATATAAAAGACTTGAAAAAATTTAAAAAACTCAAAAGGAGTGTTAATTAGCCTTCTTTTCTGTCTCCATCCATGAGTCATGTATGCTTCTCGGGGACAGGCTGGTTGGATCGACCAATCAGAGTAGCTCCCGCACACTAAAGTAGTGGTTAAGTAGTATCCATTGATCTTGCCGTTCACCACTCTACTTTATACATCACGCGATAGAAAATTTCACGGGCTTCAAAATGATGTATAAGATGATCTAGGGAAAATGTAACTGGGTAGTCTAGGCTCCGAAATACTCGGTAGCATCTCAGCAAACCTGTGAGTCAACGTCGTTCATGTTTAGAATATCCATTGATTTTCTCGTGAATTACTCCACTTTATGTGTCATTCGATAGAGAATTTCACGAGCTTCAAAATGAGCTATAAATAAGTCTTTCAAAATATGCCAATTAGGGTTGAGAATATTATGGCTAAAAATCAGTACTTTATGAATTATTGCTATTATTGTTAATTTTTGTCTAACATACTTTTTTGATTTTTGTTTAGTACATTTTTATTGTTTATTTCACTTTTCGACAGCATGTAATGGGGTAATACCTCGATTTGTTGTATTTTTGAATAAAAATCTATGGTTTAAAAAAAATTAAAATTCCAAGGAACAAAACCTAGGAACAATCAGAAAAATCTTCGTATACTTTTGGACTTGCACGAAAGACGAAATGAACTTGCCATGCAACTAGCTAAATTAGAAGCTCCTTGCAATGCCAAATCACCCCCACCCGCACTAAAACAGTTAGATATTAGATTACGGACATACACTGAGCCAAATGACCCTGAGATAATGATTATTCAAGATGTGGGACGCAGCATTGAGAGACACAAAACTGAAACTCACGCAATACATGGTAAAAGCGAAAAATCTTGAGATATTGCAAATTGACAAAAATATAGCATTCTAAAAAAGCAATACTTGAACTAAAAGTTTCTGATTCCATCAAAACTAACCGAATAGTTATAAAAATAACTTGACATGTGTAACTTGATATGTTCTATAAAATAGCTGATGTGAAAATCCCACATTCGACTGAAAAATTTCATGATCTGGTTTTCCAGGGGAGTTTGAAAGATCCCAGAAATCCCATCATGGTTCATGATAGTGCACTTGGTGTACTCCAACAATATCTTAGGACGCAAGAAATTCGCCCGGTTTTCGGAGAGAAAATCTTTCTCCAAAATGATCGGATCGATATTTGAGCTCCCACGGGATCATCTACTGTAAACGAACAGAGGCATGTCTAGAGCTCGCGGTTGTGTGAATTTGTAGTAGACACTATGTAGCAGTTATGATACAATTCTTAAGTGTAAATAATGTGTCGTTATGAAGTTGTACGTAGTTTAAATTGATAGTTTCCTTAGATGCCGGAATTTGTGCTTTTTGGGGCCCTTTGCAAAAATTGAATATCTCAGCAACGCAACAACCTTAGGATCTGCGGTTTTCGCCGAAATTCATAAAACAGTTTGCTTTAAAGAAGTCCACTATGTTGAAAAAAATCTGAAATGGTCGATTGAGCACGTTAAGTCGTGGCTTATCTTACACTACAGGTAATTGACCATTTTATGAAAGCCGCATGTCTTGATTGGTTAGAGAGTTACACTTCATACAAGCTTCTAGGTATAAATGTATGAATAATTTGCATAGCATCATACTGCATTGTTTGGCTTCATCCTACAGTCTTTGATTGATCAGATAGTTCTATAGATGTATAATATTGTTAATACGTTCTGAATTTTGTGTTGATACTATTATATTGTTTTGTCTACTCAAAAATGTTTTAGCTTTTCGTAAATGTCCGAAAATATTTGAAGAGGATTAAGAATCACAAAATTAATTTTTACCAGTTTAAGAAAAGCAATTTCAATGATGTACGAATTAAAATAGTCACAGAATGTTATCTCTCTTCACACTCATGTTGGAACATACTCTCTGAACGTTTTAAATGAACGTCTGAACATTTCAAAACTGCATTTATTATCCAAAATCCATATTCACCAAGAAACGTTTTTGTGTACTGTCCCATGAGATATATTAACTGTAATACACTTAAATATCTATTGTTTGCATTTACAAATTACTATCGTATTCGCTATCATTGTGCATTTCAAACTTATTTTATTTGTAATCTAAGCATTTCTATATTCTATAATGATACCATCATTCAGAATAATAAGCTTTTTACTATCTCTTATGGTATTTGTGCGATGTGCAATTGTTAATACAGTTTGACTCTTAAATTTTTCACGAATAACTTTTTGTATTAATTCGTCCGTTTTAAAATCTACATTTGCTGTTGCTTCGTCGATTAATAAAATTTTACTTGGTTTTAAAATAGCTCTGGCCACACATATTAACTGACATTCACCTACACTAAAATTACTTCCATATTCAGCTATTTGTGTATGTAATCCATCTTTTAGTCCTTGTATCATACTTTTCAATTGCACCCCATCTAAAGCTTCCCATATATGTTCATCACTATATTGTTTAAATGGATCTAAATTATACCTTAATGTATTACTAAATAATACTGATGCTTGTGGAATAATATTTAAATTTGATCGTAAATCACTTAATCCAATTGTATTAATATCAATTCCATCGATTAAAATTTGACCATCTGTTGCCGACTTGTCAATGAATCGAAATAACGCTTGGAAAATTGATGATTTACCAGCACCTACGAAATATTAACCATTTGAGTCCCATGGTATAAAAAAAGCTACATCTATTTTATAATTATTTTTCACAGCATAATTTATAAAAATTAGTACGTAATCTCTTGAAATGAAGCAATGGAGAATTAGCTAATTAATAGCAGATGCACTTATGTGGGGCACTGTCTATAAAATAAACTCGGAGGAAACAATTTTATTAAATCAAATATATTTAATTTATCTAGGAATCAAATAAGTCTTCATTTCTATTCTTTTCTTAAGGGTTAGAACTATCATATACACCCATTATATTTGCTGAAGTATCGGCTTCAAAATTATAACTCGCTTTTTTTCAAATTTTATTTCATTGCTGAGAAAATTCATGTTTTCTAAATCAGTAGCGAAAAAGTCGGAATTCTGCCCGCAGTTTTCAATTTTTTTTTACCAGAACTCAACTTCTATGTAATAAAAATATCATATTCAGGATCAGGATCAAAAACTCAGTCGACTGATCTGTATTTCGAAATTTTTAGCTGATTTTCAGTTTTTTTTGGGTGAAAATTCGAAAACAATTAAAGTACGTCGATTCATTTTTTCATCCTAATTTCGAATATGATATTTTTATTCAGTTTCAATTTGAATCTTCTATTCTCTTAAAAAAACGGAGTTCTATCCATATTTTGATCACAGCTCAAAAACAATTCAGCAAATGTTTCTGCGTAACATGTCGCTTGCAAGAGGACAAACCTGAACTACATAGGGTATGTGAATTATTCATTAAATAAGTGCTCCTGTCGATACATTGGAGATACTATTAATGTAAATCTTTTATCGTTCTCCTAGACAAACGTGCTGGTTTGTAGAATCCACAAATTGTGAAATCAGAATCAACTACAAAAAGAAAGTACACCTCTTACTTAGGCATGCACCAATACCAATCACTATTGAAGATATTGTACAATATTATTAGGTATCCAATAATATTTGGATCCGAGATTATTGTATATCTAATATATTGGGACCAATAATATTGGTCACCCGATAATTTTGTACAATAATATTTGATAATATTGGGTTCACTTCGACCTGCGAATGTCTGGTTTGGTAGAAAAATGTTTGCTCTACCAAACTGAAGTGGAAAAAAACATTTTTGTGTTATCTATGACAGAAATAGAAGCATCCAAAACTGAGCAAAACCGCGAAAAAATAATCAACTATCAATTATTTTTCTGTAATTTTAATGCTTTTTCGATTTATCATATTCTCGATTTATATACAACATTAAACGTTTTCTAGCACTGCAGTTTGGTAGAGCAAACATTTTTCAACCAAATCAGACATTCGCAGCTCGAGGTGCTTTTCGTAACTGATTGAAACGATTGTGAAAACTGATTGTGAAAACGCAATACGTTGGGGTGATCAATATTATTGGGATCCAAAATATTGTATTGGTGCATGCCTACTCTTACTTTCATAACTAAAGGTTTCTTTATGTGAAAAATCGAATCGAAATATTGTTAAGCAAAAATACACTGTATCATGTGCCGGTACACTGTTTTAATAAGACTATTTTAATTACCTGTACGTCCAACGATACCGATTTTGTCATGTGGTTCAATCTCTAAATTGATACCTTTTAATACAGGTGGAAGTTCTGGACGATAACGTAGTTGATAATTTTTAAATTCTATTTTTCCTTCTGATGGCCAATTGTTGGGTGCTTTCTTTTCATTATAAAAATCTGGTTCAGGTGGTACACAAGAATATTGATTAATTCTTTCAGCACTAGTCATATAGTTTTCAGTTTCAGCAGCTTGACGTATAGCTGCTTGAAATAAATTTGTTAAATTAATACAATATGCTAATCCTAGGGCTACAGACGAGATATCAATACTGTTACGTAATGCAACAGATAAGATTGCTGTTAAACATGTTAATACACACGTCATTAAATCTAATCTTAAACCAAACCATCGAATTGAAGAAAGAAATATAAAATATGCACGTGAATTTGTATCAATTTTATCAGTAAATGATTCAATGAAGTTATTTTCAGCTTTGAATGCTCTGATTGTCATTAATCCACTTAATGATGATGAAAATAAGGCATAAATAGGACTTCTTGTTACACTTTCTAATCTTTTTATTTCTCTGCTTGTTCGTAAATAAAATCTTCTTAACCAAAAAAATATTGGAATAATTGGAATGAATACAAATAGTATCCATGGATTCGTAATACCAATTATGACAATATTGCCTAATACCATTATCAGCGATTGAATAGTATCAAAAAATGTTACTGGCAATAATTCATCAACAACTTGTTGATCTTTACTAAACCTATTAAGTATACGCCCCACTGGATTACTTTCATAAAATCTCAATGAAGTATAGAGAATGCCTTTGAACATTTTATTATGTAATGTGGACGCACCATGTAATATTATATGATAAAACCAATCAGCACGTATTAATGCAATTATCACAGTGCTTATTGTCAATCCTAAATATATGTAGATATTGTAGTTTTCACGTTGTTGATCTTGTGATTTTGATGACCATAAGCTTAACCATCGATTATCAGCATCATAGGTGGCTTCACCCAGTAACATAAGAAATATTAATAAAACTAATCCACTCCA